CCACAAGGCACTTGAAAGTTTCTCAATCAAAATAAAGCCACAAAGCAAACTTAAATCCACAGTACAAGAGAGTTCACAAGGCAAGAAAAGTCCAGAGTTTCCAAGGCATGATCCAAGTCAAGGCACAGTGTCGGTCCAAAGTGAGGCAGGAATCACAATGACCAGAAAACACACAGCTAGGAAACAAACATGTTCACAGGATGACCTCCATTTGTCTGCTCTGCTAAATAGCTTCCCATGCAGCCCATCAAGAGCGAGGCTTTCTCCTCATGAGTAATCTGGCTGACCTTCTCTACTCCTGCCTTTTCTCTGCCCTACCTGTTCTTGGACCAGGAGCAGAAGGCATTTTCAGCAGAACTACAGTTCTGAGATAGCTGTTACGAAGTAATATTCTGTTGAAAGGTCAGCAAATAGTACATTCAATTCTTGAAATTTTCACAAGCTTAGTTCTAGAAATGTCTTGCATAACCAAAAAGGCACTTCCATGTGCAAGAAATCTCCAGTGAATTTTCTCAACCTCTGTACCGCTTCAGTTCCTTACACCTGAGTCTAAACTGTTTCTAAGAGTATTTAGAAACCTGAAAACATTCTATGGACAATATAGAGTTCTTCTTGCCCATTCCTGATTAATTCACAGATCTACAAAAGACAAACTCTTAAATTTATAGCTGGCATAGTTGGATTAGTTGTGTTGGGCTTTCACAGCAAAGTTCAACAAGACATCTTGTGGCACCTAAAGGACCAACTGGATTATTATGTCATGAGATTTTTGTTATTATAGGTGGTTTAACATAGCAGTCTCCAACCTTTGCTGCTGGGCTGGGGGGAGAGAGGGGAACTGGGCCATGTGAACCCATGAGTGACGGGCCAGCACGCATTCGCATGTGCGTAGCTCTACTTGCACAAGTCAAGCGTGTACATGCTCGTGCAGCCCGGTTCCAAATAGACCATGGCCTGGTAGTGGGCCACTGTCCAGAGGTTGAGGACCCCTGGTTTAGCAGATTAGTTCAATATAATTAAATTTCTCATAAATCTGTGGAAGGCATTACAAGAGTTCTTGTCCAGTCCAGTGTGACAAAAGTTGAAAAGTAAAAGCAAATGCACGCATTCCATCAAAAATTCTTCTTCACAAGTACTTCAATTCCGGATTTTGAAAGCTCTTAGCTTATTGCATTTTTTAAGGCACAAAAATTCAGGGGTGATAATATCTCAACAAAAGTCTTCTGGCTCTGAGAATTTATTCCGTCAGCAATCTGATATTTACGTGTATGTCATCTTCCCAAGATAATTAGCTGGCACGTATCCTTTTTGTCCTTCAACTTCAGCTAACCACCATTCTTTATTGCCACTCAGGTCTGAAAAACGAAGGATTTGAACTCGCTGATATTCGTGAAGACTGAGTTCCTGCTTACTCCTTGCTTGAAATGCATGAACAGCATAGAAAGTCTAAGAGAAATGAAATATAAAAGAGAGAAAGAGAATGAATGAACGTTCAATTCTACTCCCTATTTCAGTGAAAAACGGGGAAAAGCACCCAACCCAATCAGCAAATCAAGCAATATCTTACTATGCTTGTTTCTTTAAAAATCTTGTGTCGGATTTGGAATAATGTGTTTGAGTATTGTCATTAATATTAGGCCCAAATCCCTAAATTTATAAACTGTATACTTATTTCCCAATGAGATAAGTATGAAGCCATGAAACAGTGGCATATTAAAGTTATCTCTTGGGTCTTTAATACTTATCTTAATGCACCCTGAGAACTATAAAACATGACATGCTCTAACTTAAAATGATCCTGTAGCAGTATGGGATCAGCTCCAGATTTGGAAAAAAGCAAGACCTAGACCAGATGTTTTAGTAGGCCTACTTATTTGCCTTTTTCATAACTGATCATTTGGACATCATCTTCCTCTGAGATCAGTCTATACAAAAAGAGTTGGCAAGATTAATAGATACTGTAATTCATTTATCTGGAGAAGAAAAATGAACTGGCAGCTATAATTAGGAAGCCCTCAGCAGCAACTAACTCATCCCTGAATTCATCCCCTCTCTTTGGAAATCATGCTTACGTGTTGCTCATCCGTTTCATAAAAGCTCTCCAGTTCAGAGCCATTAACAGATTCTTTTTCACACAGACTATTATAGGAAGAGTCACTGCCATTTCTTTTGTGTCCTGTGGGTTTTGAACTGTTGTCATCCGGTTGTCGTGAAGAGACAAAAAGGCTGATGTTATCAAAGTCACCATCACAGAAATTGGTTTCCCCAGCATTTTTTGGTGCCTTGGCTGGTTTATAGGGTTTCAGGAAGGAAGAATAAACGTATCCTTTAAGAACTATATATAGGGGAGAGAGAAAAAGGCCAAGAGTATCAAAAGGTGGTTTTTTTTTTTAATTTTATCGTAAGAACCTTCAAATATTGCAAATTAAGAGAGATAGAGAGAGAGAGAGAGAGAGAGAGAGAGAGAGAGAGAGAGAGAGAGACTTCCGGTTCTGTCTCATAGTGACGTGGCCAATGGATTGCAGAGCTCCGCACCCCTAAATGGGTGCAAAAGTTGCCCAGAAAGGCAAAAAAGAAGGAGGGGCACCCCGATCATTGTGGAATGACAGAGGTAGATTCTTTTGATCCAGGGGAAGCCAGGAGAAAGGCTAGCTGCACATCAGTGTCTAGCCCAAGCTACCAGCAGCCAAAGTTCAAAAGCACGAACCAGAACAATGGTGAACAGCGTGCTTGGAACTGGGTGAGAATATCGATCTTCTCTCTTCTATTTTGCAATTGATTCCCTGGAAAAGATCCCCAAAGTAAGAAATCCTCCAAAAATGAGAAGGGAGGGGACTATACCCCCACCCTTCCATAGACGGAAGCAGTGATTTAATTTTTACGGAGGAAAGAAATATACTGAAATGAAATTAACAATATTACAGTCTGGATAAATCTGAAAATTAAGAAAACCATTAAGATTTTACATCTGAAAGAGTTTTGATGAAATTATAAAAAAACAATTCTTTGTTTGAAAAGTTGGAAAATGAATAACTACTGATATCTAGTGGAGGATTAGAGTATAAAACAATAGCAACACTGACTCAGAAATAAAGAATAATCTGTTCCCTTAAACCTTAGTGACCTTCAGCCAAATAGAAAACAGTTGGGAACAAGGAAAGAAAACATACTGGGTCATCTACTATAGACTGAGAACTATACTTGTTTTAAAAACTGCTGACCTTCTGGGATTATACATATTTAGTGAGCTGTGATCTTTAAGCTCAAGAATTGTCTGCAGAAAAAGAAAGAAAAATTGGAAGATTAGTTAAGATGATTTTAATATCTTATTTTGTTTAAATGTATTTAATTATTGGCCATTCACTTTCATTGGACAATGGATAGCATAAACAAACAAGATTATTATTTAAGTCAAAAACCTATAGTCATTTAGGCAGGGCTTTTTTTCTCATAGAATGCCCAGAACGGAGTTCCGGCACCTTTTTGGGATGGAACCTTGTAGGGTAGGCAAGGCGGGTTGTATGACATGTGTGAGTTCCGGCATCTTTTTTTTTTTTTTTTTTTATAGAAAAAAAGCACTGCATTTAGGAATAGCAATATAGAAAAGGAAATAATAAAATAAGAGGTGAAGCAGTGATTAAACGTAAGTATCCATTAACTCCATATCTAAAACCAAGAAGGCAATGTTAAAGGTCAAGTCTCTGCCACTAGGGCATATCTAGGCTGAGAGTGCAATGTGAAGTACTTACTTCCAGTATCAACAAGCCACCTGCTTGTGCAGTCAAAAGGATCCTTTTGGTCTATGAGAGCCACCACCTCTCCTTCATAAAGATCAATATCCAATTCCTGTGTGGCATTGCATTTACGCTTGGCTTGGTATAGCAAGTCCACATTGTACATAGAAAGTAGCATTGACCTGTGGACTTCTTTCTGACGGGGAAATTCAGGCTGGAAACAAAAAGCTGTTTCAAAGAACTAATATACCATGGAACAACATGCTCATTGTTAACTGCAGTTTTCTACATAATGGGATTTCAGTCCTAGCTTGGTTTAAAATAAGAAAAGGCTTATTTAATTATGATTTGTCAAATAAACCACAATTACCCAAAGCCAAATGCAAGTTCATCAGGTTCAAAATCACATTACAGTTTAGTCCAATGTATGAATCCAGTCTTATTATTCACATACTTGTGCTTGTTCATATTTTTGAAGCTATAAGACTTGTCTTCCACAAATGCTTCTCTCATTTTAATACATTCATTCTGTCAATGTAAAGCATTTGAACTTATCATTATCCTATAGTGATTCACATCACAAGGCTATTCTTTAGAAATTAGCTATCCATAGATAATACTATTTTATGACA